GATGTCGGGTTTGGTGGGGGCGTCTAAGGGTAAAGAAAACGCTACTAGTGCGGCCTCAGGAGAAATATAGCGTGGGTGCTACTTGCCTACGCTAAGCGCATGACTAAGCTGTCGCTGGGCGGGAATGGCTGAGGGTGGGTGCCAGAGTCTCAGAACCTTATTTGCGGCTAGTAGTCGAGCTTCCCAATTGGCACGGTTTATAAACAGAGCGATGCGGTTATTTTTAGCTGGATACTCCATCACCTTGTTGATGATCAGACTTTTGCGAGGTGTTCGTGGTCAGGAGTTACAGGGCAAACAGTGGGTGTCTCAATCGGGAGTTAATATCCACGGCTGGGGGTCGTGTATGCACCATTTTATCTACGTCAAGCATATTCGCTATCGATCTCGGGTTTATTACGCCGCCGAAGAAATTTCAAAAAAGAAACTACGAGTGATATTGGCGAATCGATCCGGCACAGCTTCACGTGACAATAGATAAGCGATCCATTATTACTTCGTGTTTAGAATCCATCGCCTTTTTAGGAGGTTGGAAAATAGTGCGATATTGAATCATCCTGTTTATCTACGTCATCATCATCAGATGGATACTCAATCTCCTAAATATATTCACTACCGATCCAGATGGGGGGTCAACGTAGAACATTCGAGAGATGTCGTGGTAGTAAAGGGTGATTAGATGTGGGTGCGCTTGTGGTGTGGGGGCGGCCACACCGCCACCGAGGCCTTGCGGGGGTTGGCGGCGGCGAAGATGGCGTCCATCTCCTCGAGCGACTTCCCTTTGGTCTCGACAAACAAGAGGTAGATGATGACGCACTCGACGACGTCCCAGAGCGAGTAGAACACGTAGAACCAGAACGAGATGCGCTCCATGGCGATGGGGGCGGCGTACTGGTTGACAAACAGCGCCAACCCCGCCACCAACTGCTGGGCGATGAACGAGCGGCTGCGGAGGACGTTCAGCAGCACCTCGGCGGGGTAGATCGGCTGCATCGGCGTCCAGGCAAACAGAAACACCACGCCAAACAAGTAGATGAACACCAAGGTGGCCGTCGACGCCGCCACCGTCGCCGTCGCCTGGAACCGCGCCAGCGCCGCCGCGAGCGCCGCCATCGCCACCAGCGCCGCCATCGTCAGCGCCAAAAACATCTTGCGCCGGCCAATAACCCCGTGGCAGTACGACCCCACCACCGCCGCCCCCCACAGCGTGATCGAGTACACCCCATTCATCAACACCTGGGTCAGCTGCGACTCGATGCCGACGGCGTTTAGCATCAGCGGCAAGTAGTACGAGCACACGTTGTTCCCGGAAAACTGGCCGAACCACCCCAACAACATACACAACATCGTGCGGTAGCGGTGGCGGCGGCCAAATAACGGGCGCAAGTCGAGAGCGCGCCACCCGGTGGCGATAGCGGCGGCGGCAAACAGCGCGTCGATCGCGGCCATCTCCGCCGCCACCACCGGCGCCTCGGCGTCGTTGCCGCCGTGGTACTTGACGATGATCGCCCGCGCCTCGTCGACGCGGCCTCGCCCGACAAGCCACCGCGGCAGCTCGGGAATAAAAAACGTTCCCACCACGAGAAGGCCGGGGTACATGCACTGGAGGGCGAGGGGCAACCGGAACGCGGTGGCGGTGCCGCCAAAGTGACGGTTGGCGCCGTAGGCGGCAAACGCCGCCACCACCAGCCCCACGTACCACAACGTGTTGTAGGCGCCGGCGACGACCAGCCGTTTGTCGGTGGGGGCGATCTCGGTGACGTAGATCGCCGCCGCCGTCAGCAGCCACACCGTGAAGAACGCGAGGACAAACCGCCCGGCAATGATGGTGGCGGTGTTGGTGGCGGCGGCGGTGATCACCCCGCCGACGACGGTGCCGACGCCGCCCCAGCGCATCATCTGGCGGCGGCCGAGGACGTCGGCGAGGGGGCAGCACAACCCCAGCACCATCTGGGCGATGTTGAAGATCAGGAACACCACCAGCACCGAGGTGGCGCCGCCGTCGTTGGCGGGGCGAAACGTCGCCACGTAGTCGGGCTGGGTGTAGATGCTCAGCATGAGCGACCCGTCAAAGCCGCACAGGGTCAGCGCCAAGTACACCACGGCAAGCACGGCGAGGAGGGGGCGCATCTGCTTCAGCAAGTAGCCGGGGGACCCCTCGGCGGCGCTGGCGGCACCGCTGGAGGCGGCGTCGTGCTCGACCACCGAAAACGTTTCCTTCTTCATGAGCGGCAATACCGTCGCCTGCGGCGCTCCCTCCGGCTATATAGGCGCCGGCACCGCCAGAATTAAGCCTTGTTTGGTTCCAGTATCAGCTTAAGCCTCATAGGCATTGTTTGTCGCGTGTTTAGACGGCGGCATTGTTGTGGTTTGACGACGGTTGTTGTGGTAGACGACGGTGATTGTTTTGAGAGTGAAACCGCGCCATGGGAACGCGGCGCGCACTCAATCGAGAAGGGGACCCGAAGGAGGCTGAAACTGGAAACACCGCCAGAAATTGGCGAAGGCTAAAGTGGGGAAAAGTAGTTGATAGATGTTCTTTTGATTAGTGTTTCTCTAATAAGTGTTCTTTTAATTGTTCGGAGCTGGTTCGTGTCGATGACTCGTTGACCGCTGTTAGTCGACCAGTGGCTTTACTATTTCCACACCAATGGCTTTGCCTTGATGCTAAAACCAAACAGACGCTTGGTTTGCTGTTGACGATGGATGTTGTATAAATCTACCTAGGGTTTGCTGATGATTCTACATTGCCAAAAATTTTACATTTGACGCGAAATTGGCAATGCACGATGGAAATTCCCCATCTGACCAAGGGGATACAAAAGAAAACCTATTGAGGATAAACATCGGCATTCTAAAATGACTGCCTGTCGTGCTATCTAGGTATATCCTACAGCCGATGCCTTCAAATCGATAGTCCATTCTGGTTAATTAATGAAGCTAAAATATCGTAACAATTGCAAATCTCAAAGTAAATCATAAATCTACAATACCCCGTTGTCTAACAATATTAAAGCAAACTTCATATATGAGCAGGCTATCGATTAAGTTGCTTGTTCTATTTGAGATTCAATCTCACGTAGCGTCGCATATGTTTGGTTGCAACTCGTGGTACTCATGGCGCTGGCGCTCAATCTGTAAATAAACATCAAGCTAAGCCAACTCCGCTGCGATATACTTTTGTCCGGGTCCAAAAGCTTATAGGGAAGCCTTCTCACGGGGTATTGTCAAGGACAATAGCCGTCAAAACCACATCATATAAATGTCATGATGGTGTTGATGATACATACTAGGGGGAAGAAGGGAGGTATTTGTCAGGCTGGCGGGGCGGGGCGTCGTATTTCTGGCGGAGAAAGTCTTCGTAGGTGGTCAAGTCGAACTTGGACACCAACCGGTCGATGGCGTTGGTGAAGAAGACGACGTCGCCGGCGGCGATGGCGTCGACAAGCCACTGGTGGCGGCGGGGGAAGCACGCGTGGTAGAGCAGCTCGCAGAACGCGTGCATCACCCGCAAGTGCTTCGCCGCCACCCGAGTCGCCTTGACGTACTCGTCGGGGTCGCGACAGTGGAGTAACTCGAGCACGGTGATCTTGAGACAGTTGGCGAGCTTCACTTTGCTCCAGCGGTCAAACTTATCCAAGTGGCGCTCGCGGTACTCGCGCTGGAGCCACCGCGGGAACAGCGCCGCCGTCGTCGCCGTCAGGCCGTCGCCGACCTGGCGGTGTAAGTCGGCGTTCTCTCGCCGTAACCGTTCGTTCTCCTCGACAAGCTCGTCGACACGGCGTTGGAGCCGCTGGTGGTCGTCGCAGCCGTCGCCGCCGGCGGGCGCCGGCGCTACTGGCGCTGCTGGCGCTGCTGGCGGTAGCGGCACCCGGTGGGGGCCCAGGGGCACGTGTCTCGCCGGCGTCGGCGACGGGGCGAGCGACGGTGGCAGCCCCGACGGACCCGCCGTCGCTGGCTGGAGCGGGGTGGCGCTGCCGTCGATGAACGCCGACTTCGCCGGCGTCAGCGTCGTGATCATCAGGTCGTCAAACACGGCGGCGGTGGCGGGGGACGCCACCACGGCGGGGCGCACCCCCCGCCCGAGGCGGAACTCCTTCATCATCACGTTCAACGACGGCTGGGTGGTGAGCGCCGGGTCCCGCGGCGGCGGCGGCGGCGGCGGCGGGGGTTGCTGGCGAAGCTGGCGGAGCTGTTCCCGCAGCTGGTCCCGCTCCGACTCGGCGCGGGCGAGCGCCCTCTGCAACATCTGTATCTGTTCGGCCATATCGTCCACCCGGTGTTCAAGCTGGGCGATCCTGGGGTCGGCGCCGTGATGGGGGGCGCTGGCGCCGGCGCCGGGCGGCGCCGCCGCTGACGACGACGACGCGAGAATGGTGTCGACGGTGTCGTGTGGAGGTTGTTGTTTAGGGGGGTGGTGGACAGTGCTGGCGGCGGTGGTGTCGGTGTCGGGAACGGGTGGGGGGTCGATGGTGGTGTCGGTGGCGTCGCCGTCGAGCGAGAGTTCGAGGCGGCGGAAAAACGTCAGGTTCTGGGGCTGCAGCGGCTCGCAGCTGTCGGTGGTGTAGTCGCCCAGCAGCGCCGAGTCCTGGTAGGCGTAGTTCGACTCCAGCGCCGCCATGGTGTCGTCGACGCCGGTGTAGGTGTCCATCGCGGCCAAAACGTAAACACCCGCGTCATGGGTGTTTTTGTCGTTAGCGCGACCCCGCGCCGCACCATAGCAAATACTCTAGCTAGAGAAAAGAAAAGCTAGCGAAAAGCTAGCAAAAGAAAAGGGTAGCGGAAAAACTAAAAAGTTGCGAAAACTAGTACTAGCGAGACACTATTAGCTCAAATTAGTATAGAAAAATGGTAGCGCATAAAATACCAGCAAAGGAGAAGAGTAGCTAAAAAACTAGTAAGAGTGGCTAGCAAGAGTGGCTGGCGAGCGTGGCTACCTCCAGTGAAGGTATGAGAAGAAAAGGTAAAAGTGAAGAAATAACCAAGTATAGTGTTTACACACAATCACTTCGTGTCTAGTCTTGGAGTCTGTTTTAAGTTTGAGTTCGTCTAATCTTGATAGGTGTCAGCAGTATTTCAGTTAGCTGAGTGACAATACACATTGAACGTACCCTTCATATTAATCGTAATCATCTTAATTTAGATTATTTTGATCTAGTCAAATATAGTAGTCTGATTTCGTCTTATTTCGTCTCACTCTCAAGCTCATGACAAATGTAAATTTCGTTGCGCGCAGCTCATCACCATGACCGACGCCCACGACGTGCCGATGGCCGACGACGAGTACGACGCCGACAAGATCAAGATGCTTCCGGGGGCGCTGGACGACGGCACGGCGGCGCTGTTCCAGATCACCGACGAGGACCACACCCTCGGCAACGCCCTCCGCTACATCATCATGAAGAACCCCGAGGTCGAGTTCTGCGGGTACTCGATCCCCCACCCCAGTGAAAACAAGTTGAACGTCCGTATCCAGACCTACGGCAACATCACCGCGGTGGAGGCGTTGCACCAGGGGCTCGACAACTTGCTGGAGTTGTGCACGGTGATTGCCGAGCGGTTCACCGAGGAATTGGAAAACAACCAGTACGTCCACACCGACGCCTAGCTCGCGGGGCCACCAATTCTATGTACTTTTAGCATACCACTAATGACCAAATATCAGATTTAACCCCATATTTATAGCCACCGTGGTGGCCAAGGCCGGTTTCACAACCTCATCCCACCCACGTTTCGAGGACCTTTTCCTGCATACAGTCGATGGCGAAAATTTATCGTCTATAAAGAGGGGCATCTCATCGCACTTTTTTAAATTCTCTTATCTATACACCGATGCTGTACTCAGGAGACTACACTCAGAATAACCGCGGCAGCAATGGCGGCTACGGCGGCGGCGGCTACGGCGGTGGCTACAAGCGCGATAACGGCTACCAACGTGGCGGCTACGGCGGCGGTCGTGGCGGCGGCTACGGCGGCGGGCGCTCCCACCAAGAGCGCATCGAGCTCACCACTCCCGAGTGGGACTTGGACGCGTTGCCCAAATTTGAAAAGAACTTCTACACCGAAGACCCCGCCGTCGCTGCGCGCTCCGACGCCGAGGTGGCGCAGTTCCGCAAGGACAACGACATGATGGTGGTGGGGCAAAACGTCCCCAAGCCGATCACGACGTTTGACGAGGCCGGGTTCCCCGACTACGTGCTTAGCGAAGTGAAAGCGCAAGGGTTCCCCTCCCCCACTGCCATCCAGAAGCAAGGGTGGCCGATGGCGTTGCTGGGGCGCGACATGATCGGTATTGCCGCCACCGGGTCGGGGAAGACGTTGCTGTACGCTTTGCCCTCCATCGTCCACATCAACGCCCAGCCGTTGCTCCAGCCGGGCGACGGCCCCATCGTGCTTGTGCTTGCCCCCACCCGTGAGTTGGCGGTGCAAATTCAACAGGAATGCTCCAAGTTTGGCCGGTCGCTGCGCATCCGCAACACCTGTGTCTACGGCGGGGCCCCTAAAGGCCAGCAAATCCGTGACTTGGCCCGCGGCGTCGAGATCTGTATCGCCACCCCGGGGAGATTGATCGACATGTTGGAGATGGGCAAGACCAACTTGAAGCGCGTCACCTACTTGGTGTTGGACGAAGCCGACCGCATGTTGGATATGGGGTTTGAGCCCCAGATCCGCAAGATCGTCGACCAGATTAGACCCGATCGGCAAACGCTCATGTGGTCGGCCACGTGGCCCAAGGAAGTGCAAAACTTGACGAGGGACTATTTGAACGACCCCATCCAGGTGACGATCGGGTCGCTTGAATTGGCGGCGTCGCACACCATCACTCAGTTGGTGGAAGTGGTGCTGGAATTTGAAAAGCGTGACCGGTTGGTGAAGCACCTCACCACCGCCACCGAAGACAAGCTGCTGAAGTGTTTGATTTTCGCGCTGACCAAGCGCACCTGTGACGAGTTGACGCTGTACTTGCGTGCTGACGGGTGGCCGGCGTTGGCCATCCACGGGGATAAGGTCCAGTCGGAACGTGACTGGGTGCTCAGAGAGTTTAAGCTGGGGAAGTCGCCGATCATGGTCGCCACCGACGTGGCCGCCAGAGGTATTGGTAAGTATACATTTACGAGTGGGGAACACGGGGGGACGTGGGCATATGTTAAAACCAAGTTGGGGGAACAGCCATCGCCAGAACTTATTGTGCGCAAAAAGGATAAAACGTTTCAAAAGTGTACAAAGGGAGAATCTTCAATTAGCCAACCAGTTAGCCCTGGCGGGAGTGGTTGGGGTAATTGGGGATTTTTCCTTGGGGTTCTGGGCCATTCCGCCACCTACCGGCTGGAGAGCCAATGTATTGTGGGTATTATCATGAGATTTCACCGTTTGTTATGATACCTAGACTATTGCACTTCAGCGGGGCGATTTAACACCGTGTGACCACCACACCGCCTTTTCACTTTAAAAAGAAAAAAACTGAAAATACTAACTATTCTAGATGTCAAGGGGATCACTTACGTCATCAACTTCGACATGCCGGGTAACATTGAGGACTATGTCCACCGGATCGGCAGAACCGGCCGTGGTGGCGCCACGGGGACGGCGGTGTCGTTCTTCACCGAAAAGGACAAGAACTTGGGGGGCGACTTGTGCAAGATCATGAGAGAAGCCAAGCAGACGGTGCCGCCGGAATTGCAACGGTTCGACAAGCGTTCGTGGGGGTCGCACATCCAGTACGGCCGCGGCGGTCGTGGCGGTCGTGGTGGCCGTGGTGGCCGGGGCGGCTACCGTCGTGGCGGTGGCTACGGCGGCGGCGGCTACGGCGGGCGTCAAACCGGTTCCAACACCGCTCCCTTGGGCAACAAAAGATTTTGAACGGACACGTAATTGAAGATTTTATAGAGTTTTAATGGTTTGAATAGTAAAGGGATAAAATAACTACTGAGGGAAGAAGGTAGTCGATAGTCGTGTATAGTGATGATTACGTAACCCTATCTAAGAAAGGTGTCCCGAATACAGCCACAGTAAGACTAGGTATAAAACCAGATGAAGTCTAGATGTGGCGGATTCAACCCACTTATATGCATAAGTCGACACCACCCGCTCCTACAACGCCGTCCGGGCTTCGCTAGTCCGCCAATGAGCGGGGTGCCGTTCATGCGGCTTACGCGATAGACCGAGTTCGCATCTCTTACCACATTTGCCCCCCTGCTTAGGTCCCTTAAGACCTACGCGTATTAGAGAGTCTGGAAGAGCGTCTCCATGAAGAGGACGTCTCAGACTGAGGTAGAGATGGAACCGATACGGGTTGTCCGCCAATGTCGTCGGCGCACGTTTCCTTCGCAGCCCGTTTGCGGGGGCGACCTCGTTTAGAGGGTCNTTTGCCCCCCTGCTTAGGTCCCTTAAGACCTACGCGTATTAGAGAGTCTGGAAGAGCGTCTCCATGAAGAGGACGTCTCAGACTGAGGTAGAGATGGAACCGATACGGGTTGTCCGCCAATGTCGTCGGCGCACGTTTCCTTCGCAGCCCGTTTGCGGGGGCGACCTCGTTTAGAGGGTCTGCCGGAAGGGACAGTCGATGAGCTTGGCTCGAGGCTGCGCTTGACACCGGACTGTGGGGTGAGTTCTGACTGTTCCAAGGCGCGTTTCGGAGGAGTCTTGTTTTTACTGCCTCGAGGTCGGCCCCGGCCTCGCTTGGGAGGTACAGTAGAATCGGTGAGTTGGTCTTGACCGAGCGACGAAGTTGAGTTTTGAGAAGTCCGCAACGTCGGCGTAGAATCGTTCAGGAACGAGTTCTGCGTGCCGAGCGTCGGGTCGTCTGTAGCTGTCTGTTGGGACTTGGACTTCGACGATTTTCCCCCCCGAGACTTCGACGTCAGAAGGCGCCAACGAGCGGATTCGGAGTCCTTACGAAGCATGTTGATCAAGGTAGGCTCGCGAATCGCCGTGCGGTCGCGTTTAGCGCGGGTCACGTAGGCGTGGACCAACTTGCGACGCAATGTGAATGAGAAGTGGTCCCGTAGGACGGATGGATTAACTCGCGCAGTGTTGAGAGGCTGGCAACCTCGGAACTGGAGAAAGACCCAACCGTCGGGAGCCGACTCGCTCGGAGGAACGACCGTGGTAATGGCAACGACGTCGTGGCGGCGTTGAATAACTTCGCGTTCGGACGAGGGAGTAGGCAAGTAATGAGCAGGAGGCTTGTAAAGCTTCAAGTCTTTAACGTTAACCGTACGAATCTCATCCGCGATATTAACGCGCCAAGCAGAGTCCTGGTCTTCCGCAATTTGCCCCACGATGGGATAGGGCCCATGAAAGATAGGGTCAAATTTGCCGTACGGAATGTGGCGACCACCGACAACTGCGTCCTTGTGTACCATAACCAAGTCGCCGACTTCGAATAACGGCTGCGAGCGACCTTGATTCGCTGCATTCTCAAGCTTCAAGCTCTCCAAAGTGAGGTGGTCGTGGATGGCCGCATGTACCGCTTTAATTTGGTCGAGGAAGAACTTCTTACTGTGAGGCGTGTCGCACGCTTCGTACTGGTCTGCTTTGATAATGTGCGAAAGACCCCAGGGGCGCGGAGGCCGACCTAAGATTGCTTCCAACGGAGACATACCAATAGCACGTTTGTAAGAAGTGTTCGTGACGAACTGAGCCAAAGAAAGATACTCGTCCCAAGAGCCTTTATGGGCATCTGCGAGAACGCGCACGCGTTGTAACACATCCTTGACGCTAGCTTCAGCTTGACCGTTCCCTTGCGGGTGAGCAGTGGAAGTCGTTTTGAGAACGATGTTGTGATTGTGGAGCAACCGCTTAAAGTCGTCCGACATGAACAACACGTCCTTGTCACTATGTATTTCCTCGGGTAAGCCATAGTAACGGAACACATGATCAACGAGCAACTTGAAAACTTCCTTCAGGGTCATCGACATGTGGCAGGGGACAAAGACCGATGACTTCAGTAATGCACATGTTACCACCATGATGCGGTCAACCCCAGTAACGCCTTTTGTTAACGGTCCAGCAAAGTCAATGTGAATTCGTGAGAAAACCCCCGTTGGAATAGTGGCCTTTCGAAGGAGACCCTTGTCAAGGACAGCGTGCTTGTTGCGGAGACACGCTTCGCACGCCCGAACAGTGCTCTGAATATCCTGGTAGAGATAAGGAGCAAAGAACTTGCGAGCGAGAGACCACCACGTTTCAACCGCGCCAGTGTGATTCATGCTGTGGTATGCCAGAATGATTTCCTTGGAGAGTGCACGAGGCACGCAAAGGCGGCCAGCGTACGAAAGGCACTTGTCACCTTCGCGAATCTTGTACTTCCGAATCTTCTTCAATACCGCTTGAGTTGGTTGAAACTCTTTGTCTCCTCGTTCGCGCTTATCACAGAGATCAAACACTTCCGAGAAGTAGGGATCGGCTTTCACTAACTGACGTAACAACTTCTTGGGGACAGGCGTCTTAAACTCGATTTCTGCCGTGTCGGGAACAAGGCCGACCAGCATGATCATGACAGCATCGTCGCGCTGGTCCTGTTCAGCTTGTGCCCGTTGTTCGTCGTTAAGAGACGAGAGCCACTCCTTGAAAGGAAGCGTAATCTGTCTCGAAAGCGCGTCGGCGAGAACATTCTCCTCCCCCTGAATGTAGCGGATGCGTACTTGATATTCAGCAATAGTTTCGAGCCATCTTGCGATTCGCTCGCTCTCGGGATGAGCGTCAGTTACGAGCAAATTCTCAAGGGACTTGTGGTCAGATCGCACGAGGATCGATTGACCTTGCAACATGGTCTTGAACTTCTTGAGAGCTACGACCACCGCAAGTAACTCCTTTTGGCGGACAGGGTAGCGAATCTCGTGAGTCGTAAGAGCCCGTGAGTACATGGCAACAGGCCCATGTTTTCCAGA